TCGGAACTACAAGTTGTGAACCGGCACTCACTTGAATATTGCACTCGAAGTAGACATCACTGCCTTCAAGGATTTCCTGGTGTTGAATACTGGCGCCCAAAATCAATGATAAAAGTGGTGCGTCTGTAATGACAATACCATTAAATGTGATAGATATCGGCCAACCAGTGATTGTAATGAGCAAAATGAAAAAGGGTTTTCTAACTCTTCCTCTTTAATTTTTATGTCCGACTTTTTTTGGGCACAAAATATTCATTCTCTACTTATATCTCGAAAAATAATAGGAGAATAATCTCTTGTTTTTCCTTACTTTATATACCATATGAATGATTTAAATGCATGTTTTAATGCACTTTTCTATGAAATGATTTATGAAAGTCTAGACTAATTGTTGGCAATTTTTTTGGGTAACAAATCATAGGCAAAGGGTTAATGGCATACATAAGACATTGATTTTCCAGCCGTCTTCGAGCTTAAAGGCTGGAAACGTGGGATTAGTGGCGGAACAGGACAACGCCTTCCCGTTGTCGTCCACCGAAGGCACGAACGCTAAGAAGTTTGTGGTAACGGATCCGTCGTCCGAAGTACTTTCGCCGATATGTTCCATAAGAGCGCCGCCTTTCCACCACTGGATCTTCGCCGGCGGTCGGGAACCGCTCGACTGGCAGACCAGCTCCAGACGCTCGCCGGCGGACATGTTATACACCGGCGTTAATATTCGTACTTCTTTAGGCTTAACTGAATTTACAATTAAAATTTTTAATGAAATCAATTGATTAGAAAACGAGTTAAACTGATTGAGCAATGAAATGGTAACTAACGGTTGAGGTCGATGGCGATGGTCTGGGACGCAGGCACTGTTAGGTTAGTGTTGGACGCCTGACACGTCAAAACGGTCATCAAGTCGTCCCGAGACAGTCGCGGCAATTGTATCACATTTCTGATGAACCCTTTGGGTGTCGTGTAATAGCTCTCGTCAGCGATGGTCGACCCCCTCCACCACTTGACCACAGGGGGCGGATTGCCTGTCAGTCCCCCCAATCAGATCAATCAATACCATTGCCATCAGACACAACAACAAACAACAAATAAAAGCCCGTCTCTTAAAAAAATACATCTGTTTTTGCGCTAAAAGATTATTATCTTATGTTTGAGGACATCATTAATCTTGAGATCAAATGTACGAACGATAGGGAGAAAAAGAAGATAACATACAGAATATACTGATATATAAGTGAAAAAACTAATAATAAATGTAAGTTTGGTTTCGTGTCTCTCAGAGACGAAAAGCTAACTCATAATGAAAGCTATGGGAAACGCAAAGAAACGGATGGATAATGCAATTATGGGCGGCTGTGGCGGACGGTTGGGTCTCTGCCGATGATTACCTCCATCTGAATCACACGTCAAATTGACGGAAGAGTCCTCATTGAATGGTCCGGCGATGTCACTGATCCTATTGCCAGAGCCATCAAAGATGATCACTTTAGATGCAGGCACTGAAACACAATATAACCGTATGTTTAGATATAGTAAAGTATACTTCACTATATAGTGCTATATTATGGTTAGGAATATAAGGCAGTGGTATGTAATAAATCGTGACATGAAATACACACAAACATTAACTGGACGTCACGTTTCAATCAAAAGACACACTATTTTGTTGGTTCCCATTATCTAAAGAGCAGACAGAATACTGTGGAGTCTACTCTTCTTTACAGTGCATTCACTCATATATAGTGTATATATAAACCAAAAATGCAATATTCGGGCCATAAATGCTATATATTCTTATTTCTGACGCCAAAAAACAACTCTCGAAAACTAAAACTTCTCTCTTATGTACTCTCACGAGAGAATTGACTTTAACTGCAAATCAAATATCAAATACAGTGAAAATACAAGAAGAAGAAGAAGAAGAGGAGAGAGAGAGAGAGAGAGAGAGAGAGAGAGAATGTGGAGAGAGTGGTTGAAAACTCTTTTCGATTATGTGGAGCACATATTATTTGAGTTATTCTCTCAGCCATTAGAGTAAATGAAACATAAGTTTGTTTTATATAAGTTATAAATCATATCTCACAGAATATTAGACTGTAAGCTATATAACTGTTCTCTCTCTCTCTCTCTCTCTCTCCACTTTCACTCTTTCTCAATATTTTCTGTATTATGTTTTTAATGCTTTTTTCATTCAAATTCAGTGTTTGTTTTAGTAGATTGTCTGCAAAAACCTGATATGTATATATCGGTCGCCAAACAACTGATCGCACAATAAATGCCAAAATCAGTTTCTGGGAAAGGATTTTCATACATCATATGAAAGACTGTGACTTACAATGAATTTTGAGATTTACGACTTCACTCTCTCCCCGGCCCTCGGCGTTGGCCGCCTGGCACTGGAATTTACCACGGTGCACCTTGCTCACTGAACGGATTAGCAACGAGTTGTTCCGCACCTGTACTCCCGGTGACGATTCACTATTGAGCGGCTGGTCGTTGAATAGCCACACGAGTTCACTGATGGCCGGGTTTGCCTGCAATTAGCGTTTTCATTAACATAACTCTTTTATATTATATTTTATAAGTTATATTCTCTTCTAAATGTGTGTTTGTATTTCTACAACAAATAAAACATAGATTATTTTAATGGTGGAGAGGTTCCGGGTGAAATATCTTTGGCGAATAACTACTGCTGACCAGAATTTATGGCACTGGCTATCAATGTATGAGATGCTGACTATCGATGGGGACTATCAATGAAATGATAGATTATGTTAAGAACAACACAAGAATTCATCGATAAAAGAATTTATGCCATCAATAACCAAAATCAGTTTCTGGGAAAGGATTTTCATACATCATATGAAAGACTGTGACTTACAATGAATTTTGAGATTTACGACTTCACTCTCTCCCCGGCCCTCGGCGTTGGCCGCCTGGCACTGGAATTTGCCCCGATGCACCTTGCTCACTGAACGAATCAGCAACGAGTTGTTCCGCACCTGTACTCCCGGTGACGACTCACTATTGAGCGGCTGGTCGTTGAATAGCCACACGAGTTCACTGATGGCCGGGTTTGCCTACAATTAGTGTTTTAATTTAGACAACTCTTGAATTATGTATTATAAGTTATATTCTCTTCGAAATGTTTGTATTTCTACAACAAATAAAACATAGATTATTTTAATGGTGGAGAGCAATAGGTTCCGGGTGAAATAACTTTGGCGAATAACTACTGCTGGCCAGAATTTATGGCACTGGCTATCAATGTATGAGATGCTGACTATCGATGGGGACTATCAATGAAATGATAGATTATGTTAAGAACAACACAAGAATTCATCGATAAAAGAATTTATGCCATCAATAACCAGAATTTATGGCACTGGCTATCAATGTATGAGATGCTGACTATCGATGGGGACTATCAATGAAATGATAGATTATGTTAAGAACAACACAAGAATTCATCGATAAAAGAATTTATGCCATCAATAATAAAATGTATTGATTTTCTATTCCTGTCTCTCGAAATATATTCTGTATATATTTCGGGTAATATTCGCCATTATATACATGTATATACGGTATATGCAAGTTATATAACGTATACATATATTATGTAATATATAAAACTGTATGTATATATGCATGAAGTGATCGGAACTACAAGTTGTGAACCGGCACTCACTTGAATATTGCACTCGAAGTAGACATCACTGCCTTCAAGGATTTCCTGGTGTTGAATACTGGCGCCCAAAATCAATGATAAAAGTGGTGCGTCTGT